ATTAAAAGAATAATCTATATTGTCAATTGTTAAAAGAATGATTTGTATTGTCAATTTTCAATGAATTACAATGTGGCACACAATGAACATACGTATAAATAGTCAAAAAGGTAAATTTTTCAAGGTAGTGAAAACTTAAGTTTCTTCTGTCCCTTAGTAAGTTTGTACCTTAGCTCAGGAAAAGAAAAAAAAACCCCGCTCAAATCTATGGTTTAGTTAAACTGAACCAACTTTAAAAGGATACTTTTGTCGCATTATTGCATTTTATTTTTAATGGTTGGTTAGAATATGAAATTGATGGTTTTTTGTTTCACCTTTTCTTTTGTGATGAAGCCTCCCCCTCTTTTTTAAAAAAATTTTTTTTTATTATTTAAACCAACAAAACAAAACAAAACATAACACACATATATACACAGTATATATTTTAACAGCAATTTCGTAACAGTAATCTATTATTTACATTTCCCCCCTTATTCTTCTTTAGAGTATTTGTCCTTGTTGCCCCATTATTTCTTATTTGCATTTTTCTTCCTTCATACCTTATTATACACACATTTTCCACTTTTAACCTTTCCACATTTATTCTCTCTTATTTCTACTCTCCAGCCAGTCATACCACTTGTTCCATATTAAATAGTATTCTGTGTCTTCCTTTTCTTTTATCTCTTTTGTTAATTTGTCCATCTCAGCACAGTCCAGGATTTTCTTTATCACTTCTTCCTCTGATAGTATATTCTCATTTTTCCAGAACTGTGCGTATGCTATTCTTGCTGCCGTTGTTGTATGTAGAATTAAGTACCGTATTTCTTTACTATATTTTCTGTTTAAAATACCCAGCAAAAAGATCTCTGGTTTCCAGTCTACAGGTTGGTCTATTATTTCTTCGATCCATCTTCTTATTTTAGTCCAGTATTTTTTTGCAACTGGNCGGCTCTTTTTGTATTTCATATAATTTTTTGTCCTCTGTATATTTAGACTGAATTTGTGTAAATGTCCACCAATCAATCTCTCTGCCTATCTCTTGTTCCAATTCTTGTTTTGTTTTCAAATTTCCCTGATCATTTACTAATTCCTTGTATCTAATTATCTTATTTATATCCAGTAGGTTTGGATGTTTCAGAGCTTCTATTGGAGATAACCACATTGGAATTCTTATATAATGTTTTTGTTTTATTTTCTCCCAAGTCTGTAGGAATGCATTCCTAACTATGTGTCTTTGAAAGTATTTGTGTATTTTGTATTTTTCGTCCCATAGGAAAGCATGCCACCCTGCTTGCAAGTCATGTCCTTCTATTGTTAAAACCCTAGTATTTTTCAAATCCATCCAATCTTTTAGCCAAGTTAAGCTGGATGCTTGGTAATATATTTCCCACTCTGGTAACGCCAATCCCCCTTTATCTTTCATATCTTGTAATAGTTTTAATTTAATCCTGGGTTTTTTCCTTTGCCATATAAATTTGGTGACCAATTTATTTAATTCTTGAAAGAATGTTTTCCCTAATTTTATTGGAATAACTTGGAACAGAAATAATATTTTTGGCAATGTATTCATTTTGACCGTAGCGGTCCTCCCTAAAAATGAAATTTGCAGATTTTTCCCAATTTTCTAAATCTTTTTTTATCTGGTGTAATATTTTATCATAATTGTCCTCCTTAATCGAGGAACATTTCGCTGTAAGCCAGATCCCTAAATATTTTATTTTCTTGGTTATACTTATCTTTATTTTATCTTCTAATTCACTTTCCTGTGTCTTTGTAAGATTGCTTCCAATCCCCGCTACGGAGTCCCCACCACATCCCCACCGCCCTTCCCATTCCCCCACCACCCTTCCCATTCCCTCACCCCAAACTCCCAATCGCCTCCTCTCCTCCTCTTTCCTGCCCCCAGCATCCCAGTTCAATCCTTCATCCATGGGTGTGCGTGTGCCGGTCGCCTCCCCCTCCAAACTTTCCCGACGAGAGGTCGCTGGCGGCGCAAAACGCGCCCCAATGTTCGGGGGAATGGGAAGGGCGGTGGGGATGTGGTGGGAGCTCCGTAGCAGGGATTGGAAGCAAGGGTAGAGAGAGTGGGCAGCAAGGTTGCGTGCATGAGGGAGCACTCCCCCCGTACTAGGGGGGCGGCAGGGGAAGGCTAGTGGAAGGAAGGGGTGTGTGTATGAGGAAGGGAGCACTCCCCCGCATTAGGGGGGGTTGCAGGGGAAGGCTAGTGGTGAGGCTGTGGGGACGAACATTGGGGCGCGTTTGACGCTGCCAGTGACCTCCCGTCGGGAAAGTTTGGAGGGGGAGGCGACCGTCACACGCGCACCCATGGGTGAAGGATCGAACTGGGATGCTGGGGGTAGGAAGGAGGAGGAGAGGAGGTGGTTGGGAGTTTGGGGTGAGAGAATGGGAAGGACGGTGGGGGCACAAGGTGCGGAAGAGATGGTAGGTAGGGTCACGGGCAACGAGGAAGAGGGGAGGAAAGTTGGAACGCGGGTGGCTAGGAAGAGAGAGGGGGACAACGGGCAACAAAGAGGTACCCTGGGTGTGAAACTGCTTCCCCCCCTAACGTACGAGCAAAGCAGGGAAGGAATGGGGGTGGGGAAGAGGGAGGCAAGAGTGTGTCAACTTGCGATACGACGATTAGGAACCGAACGCAAGAAGATCATTTGGGCCCAGTCATGAGTGCAAAAGGCACCACTCCTATAAATAGCCATCCCATTGACTGCTAGTCACCCTGATGATGCTGGCAGAAGGCCGGTGAAAGCTAGGTGTTTTAACTTTATTAAACTTTTATAGTTTTTAATCTCCTGGTGGTCTCACAGTTTGTGGTTTCCCGAATATGGATTTACCCAGCTGATTAAGCCCTGATGATGTCAGCAGAACGCTGACGAAAGCTCGGCATTGGTATAGCGGCATTAAACTCATATAGTTTAATGATTTTACCCTGGTGTTCGTTTCATTTATTTGTTTTGGCATGGATGCACCCAGGGATCATGTTTTTAGTATAATTACCATATATATATATATATATATATATATATATATATATATATATATATATATATATATATATATATATATATATATATATATATATATATATATTGTTGTTATTGTACTGTGCTCAGATTCAGTCTATAGATCTGAACTCTAGATGTTAGTCATCTAGGCCTTCTTTCTACTCCATAAAAATCAATCTATTTGGATTTGCCTGTCCAGACATTTTTCTCTTTATCCCTTGGACTGGGATCTATTTATAACCAGACTTTTCTTCCTGAAATATATTACATTCACTAAAATTATGATTATTTTTCTTCTTAATGCTTTATAAATACTTGATGTTCTATAAATACAGTATGTGATTGTGGAAGGAAGAGGAGAAGAAGAAAGAAGGGTTTTCCTTCCCATTTATAATTTTAAAAAGCCATAGAAAATGGATTGGGAGAACTAATTTGTCCTAGTGGTTAAAGCACCAGGCTAGAAAACAGGATACTGAGTTTCATGCTTTAGGCCTCAGGTTCGGGTGACAAGCTGATCAGTCAATCCTGTTGCAACCAATGGATCAACACTTGGGTGGTCTGAAAAAAGTGGATCCTGTACTTGCAGAAAAGAGGCAAGGAAGAAATATAAAATGGATTCCCATATAATTTTATAAATGTAACTTAACCTTTGCAAGAATTTTTACAGAGATTCAATCTTTTTCCTAAAACAAAATCTCAACATTTTGAAGAAAATATGTGCTATAAACAACCACAGCTTTTGGCAGTGTTTCTGGGGGGAAGAACAAATTGATTATGATTTAATTACACACTATGTGCACACATTAGATCACCTATCTTCTGCCACTGCAACAGTGATACTCTCTGCTCTATCTGCCTTCTTGTACCTTTTGTTGGCCCCACAATCTCAAGGATTGAACATGATTATAAATATATGCTTCAGGCAAAGCTGCAAAATATACTCAAATTCAACCATTTTGGCTGAAAAGATGAATAAAATGCTTTAAATACATTAAACAGATAAAACAAATAAACAGTCCATTATTTGCCAATTGTTTATACACCTCAGTAGATTAATATATCTTCAAATCATAGCAGACTTTGCAGGATCATAGTATTATGAAAAATGTTCCAATTCAATCCACCATGTATCTTTATCCCACCATGTTGCAGTCTTTGAGAAAATGTTTTCCATTTTCTCCATAAAGACAGTCCGTGCAATATTGGACAAAAATCTAGGGTTTGCCCTACCAAGCACCCTGTGGAATAGCCTGATTCCAGCAAAACTACATAGGAAGGAGAACAAATACAAGAACTGACCCTTTCTTCAAAGCACATTTATCAGGGACTAAATCCCACTGAATTTATCGAAGTACCCTTCTCAAAAGGGAAGTGCATATATTATCTCAACTGTTACCATTTGAAAAGCCATTTCAAGAAGGCTTTTCCAAGTGCTGATCCCTACATACAGTAGGTGAAGGCATCATCTGAACTCTGCTTCAACCAATGAAAGATGTTGATTCATATAAATTCATATTTCAAAACAGTGTCAGTATAACACAGCAGGGACTCAAGATCCATTGCTGTGTGTAGTGGAACCCAGATGGTACTCGTGACTTTAAAATATCTGTCTTACCCCTTGAAATTCTTTTGCCTTCTAGGACCAAGTAAAAGAGGCTGAAAACTATCCCTTAAGGATATGGGTCATGTGTCCATTCCTTTTCTGACTTACTCACCAAAGTATAATTGTTTATCCCCTAAAGGTTAATAACCAGATGATCATAAAAGCAGAATGAGATCTCTTTGGTTGATTTTGAGCCAGTGCCTTTCCCTAATCTTTACTGGCTCTCTCTGCAACATTCTCTTTCCACAATGAATTGCATCTGGAAAAAGTGTTTTGTTTTGGGTTGGGGGGGGCGGGTGTTACATCGCTTGCCAAGTATTTTAAACTGACACCAGCTATGACTAATGACAAGGCTGGAATGTGCTGTTCTCAGTAGAATAGAGCCCTTTACAGACCTAGGATTTTCCTGGGGTCCAGCTTCTGTCTGTTCAGGGGACTGGTGCCATAGAGCAGTGAATGATGTTCGGAGTGAACCAGCTGTATTTCTTCCAAACTGGCTTTTCGACCTCGAATCCGCTGAAAGAGAGCAACAGAGCTCTATAATATTCCACTGATAATATACAGGGGAGGGGAAAGAAAGGAAATCCAAAATAAAATTGAATAGGATTAATCATGGGCAGTAATAATTGCATCATATAGGAATGTGACACTGATATTTAATATGATACAAGAAAGCAAAAACATGGTTTTTTCTCTCTCTCCCTTAAATAAATGGATTGATGTTATGTTAAAATAACATAGCACTTTGTATGACAGAAATAAATGCCCTTCTCTTTTTTTCTCTCTCTCTCTCTTGCATTCAACCCTTTATGAAGGCTACAGTAAATATGACATAACCCATGCAGTAAATGATTTTACAGGGGTGAGAGGAGTGTGATCCAGATCAAGATGGCAAGAAAGGGAAAAAGACAAAAAAAACCTCTCAACCTTCCCACTGAACAGCCTATGGATCTGACATGTGTGTGTGTGTGTGTGTGTGTGTGATTGTCAGCCTAACATCAGTACTTTTTAAAATTCTATTTGAGATTAATAGAATCTTTGTCTTGCAAAAAGATAGGACTATATTTTATAATATAGCACAAGTACAAAATTCCAAAACCTGACCTTTGATTTCTCTTTAATTTTGTGAATTAGTCAGATAGAATTTAATTTAGCAGGGACATGAATTCCCATTAGAATTATTTGCTAGTAGGATACTTCCAAATTTCTTTCAAATTCTCTGGGAAATACTTTAAGCTGATTGTGTTATGAAACGGCAGAGAATTATTTTGTATCACATTTTTGTTTTCATTGCATGTAGCTACTTCGGCTCCTCAAACTTCTTATTCTGGAAGAGCCAAAAGGAATTACCTGTAATTAAATAATATGAAATCATAGAAACTGCCAATCACTGGAAGGATGATGGTACAAGGGAAGGTATGACACAATCCTTGGCTTTTCAATAATTAAGGTAAGCAAAAGAACCCCACACCCTATCCATTAGAATCCCACCACAACTTCTTCTCTGCTTTAGGGGAAAAAGAATCAAAAGTGATTTATTTTCCATCAGATTGAAGCACAGTAAAAAGAAAAAGGAAAAAAAAAGTACAGAGAAAAATGTTTTGGCAAGCACGAAACAAAACAAAATAATCCCCACTGGTCATGAATCACAAAGAAATGAGAATAGAGTTAAGTGCCAAGATAGAATGGATATGAGGAAAAATAGCAACTAAGTGAGAAGTAAGTTGCCCAGTTCCAGTTTGACGTTGCAGTCTAACGGGCACAGGAAGACGGGGCTCCATCTTCTGCATTCGAATTTGCCCCGGTATGGACCCTAAAAAGGGTCAAAAGTCACCCCGAAGAGGCGACGGAGAAGCAGGGGACCCTCATTGATCATGGGAGGGTGGCGGTCCTTCCTTTTGATCTGAGGAAGCTCTCCAAACTGGCTGGGGAAAGACTGGCTACATTTATGTGGCCAATCAGAAGCTACTGACAACCAAAGAAAATAAGCATTAACCAGCAATTTTTGAGCAATGTGGATGGAACTGGGTGAGATCCTATCCTCTCTTTATGAGTTTAAGATTTTTTCATTTGCCCAAAGCAAAGAATCCTCCCCAATGAGAGAGGGAAGGGGAATTCCCTTAGGAAAAGAAAAGCGGTGAATTAATTGCTTGGGGGAAAATAGAGAACATTACAAGATTAATTTGGAAGCAATACACATATATAACTTTGAAATTTGGGGACTATAAGTGCTTTTGAGATTCTTTTTTTTAAAAAAAGAGACTTAAAAACCTTGTAATATAAGTTTGGATGTAAAAAACTGGAAGACGGTGTTAATGACATCTAGTGGTGAACTACAGCACTACAATTTATTATGCCTAAAGGAAACTTGGCTGGAAGCCCAATCTCAGATAAGACTCTTGTTGTTTTCAGAAACTTTCACTTTTGAAGACTGCAGCAGGGAAAAGGGGGAAAAACCCTCTTTGGCTACTTATCTGTTTAGAAGAGACAATAAGCTATTTTGAAACTGGCCTGCCTGGACTATGAATATAAATACTAACTGACTTTTAGAGCTGAGTCATGGACCTATTTCCCTATAGAAGAAACATGCATTATTGATTGAGATGATGGAATACTTTGGACTATAAACCTTTAATTGATGAACAATTTTTAATTGTTCTTCTCTCTCTGGACAGAAAGGATGTGTTTTTCATTGGACAGAAAAAATTGAAAAATTATAACTTTACTTATATTTGCTGAGGGGAGACTTAAGGATGGACTGAAAGGCCGGATGGATAATTAGGAGTTCAAATAACAATTGACTGAAACTTTTTAAATCCCTAAATAGATTGGACTATAAAGACTACATACAAAAACAAAATGGATGTTCCATACTTAGCTTCAAATGGTAAAAAACCATCCCTAACACCTTTCCCCAAAGCCCCCAGGTTGACATACCAACTCAGAAAATGACTACAAAGAAGGAACTAGCAACCCAGAAAATAGAAGGAAAATCAGAGGAAGCAGATCCAAAGATGGAGGACCTAAAGAAAGAACCAACAGACAGACTCAGACAAATGAAGAATTAGAAGACGTAGCGATAATATTGGAAATGGAAAAGATATCTTACCTGTCAAGATCTCAGAACACACTTGAGGATAAAAAAGAAGAGCTGAATGAATGGAAGATAGAGCTGTTAGGAGAATTGTGGAAAATTGGACAAGGAGGGAGGCTGTTTAATGAATATCATGGACTGAGCATCCTTCCAAAAATACTTTAATCAAATTGTCTTTCTTATTCCAAACAATATACACAAAAATAGAAGAAGAATTACTTGATGATTCAAATGCATTGACTTGGAAAGTTAGTTGGCAAAGGAAGAAAGCTAGAGTAAGACTGAAGAAAATAGAGGTTTTGACCCATTAGATGGGATATTATACTATTAATCAGATGTTTGAATATGGCTGAGAATATATAATTGTTAGAAATAGAAGTATTATTATAACTAGAAAGATAGGATTTATAACTAGAATATTATATTTTGGTATGAGAAGGGAAATATGAAAATGCTAAGAGGGTTTGAATAAGGGAAGCTTTTGGTTACCCAAATATAAGCTATTATGAGAAATTATAAGCAATAGAGACATTTTGAACACTGATGAGAAATTAAAATTTAAAAAAAGCGGGAAAAACAGGATATTAATTGAACAAATGGATATTAAGTGCAAATGCAATTAAGATATGTTTTGGTTAGAAAAAGATATTTTAAACCGACATTATTTATATTATTAGGAAAATGTAACAAAGATGTTGATATTCAATTGTATGTGTATTAACAATAAGAATTGTATTTGCCTAATGTGGGAAAATGTGTACTACTGGAAGAAGAGAGGAAGCATTGGATGGTGTAATATTGGGCCTAGATTGAAGAAGTTAATATGTACCATTGAATTACTAATGGACCCAGGACAACACGTTGTTTATTAGGTACTCATGATTATAAAACTAGAAAATTAATAAAATATTTATTTAAAAAACAGAAGAAAGTAAGTTGCCCAAAAGGCGGATGGGGAGACATTTAACCACAGTGGTTTTTAAAGAATAAATGAACAGCATGGTTCAAAACATGATGTTAGAACCATTATATGGAAGATTAAAGTATGGACCCAAAAAGCCTTTGAAATCACTGAGATGTTGCAGAAGACTTTGAGATGTATCCTTACCCTCAACAGAACTCCTGCACTTTACCATTTTCAGAGACCAAACAGTTTTTGATAAATAACTGACAGACTAAAATAAATGGCTACTAACAAGAAAATACTGCTCTTTTAATCTCTGCTTTTTTGCATCTACTACTGAAAAAAAATAGTAATCTGTTTTAATTTCAGTTTTTCTGATTAAATATAGTTTTTCTCTCTTTTTAATGCCTCTGCTTTAATTTCATATATCTGTTTTTTAAAAAAACTTTAAACATTTTTTTATTCTGATAACACCAAATATCTATTGGCTTGTCCTGCTATTAAAACGAATCTCATGAAAATCTTTTAGAAGAGCTTTCTACAAAGATACACAGACTCTTTCATAAGTTATTGTTGCTTAAAATAAAGAACCTTCACAAAGATTTGTACAGCAGGAGTGTAATTGTGTTTGTGTTTAGGGCTACTGTACCTTTAAGTGACATGTCAAAGCCACATTCCAAAGTGGGTAGTGCCCAGTCAAATAAATTAATAAGGGGCATAAACCATGGGTGATAGTATGTTCCTCAAATAACTGGCACTATGCCTGTAGAATAGATAACTAGCACACAGAATTTCACTCAGAACTAATTTGGGGTTTGGAGGTACAATTTTAGTCCTCTGTTTTATTGTCTTATAGTATTACAATGCTCACTTTCAAAAGGCTGATAAACATCAATGGAATTCATATTAAACTAAATATAGATTAACAAAAGATTTAATTATACAGGAATCTGATCTCCAATTTCTTCATCATTACTAATCCTGCAACTGAATTTACAGCCAAAAAACATTGAGATATAGTTGCATAAAATCAACAACATTCTGTTACTTTGGACACTATATTTAATAACTTTCTCCAGGGATTATTTTTTATAAAAACACCTTGTTATTTATATATCAGGTGATTGATAATATTATTTCATTTGCCTAAAACGTATTTACATTTTCTTGAAGGAAGGGAAAAGGGATGTGGTATTATATAAATGTTTTTCCTGGAATGTGCTGTAGATGACTGCATAACATATAAATGAAGAAACCCCAGGTGGTTAGGACTATGGAAGACCCTTTTCCTTTCCATTGAGAGTTGCATATTTCACAGAAAAGCTAATTAAAATGTTTAAGAGATTAAGGGCAGTTATTAGTCACGTACCAGAATATCTATTAATACCATAAAGAATACCATCCATTTCACTGTATCTCTCTTATACAACGGACAGAAAATGGGGTAAGGGCCAAAATAGGTATAGGTTACAAACAAGAGAAACAAAAGCATTTAATTTATTTCTTTTCTCTCCTATTTACCTATAACTTTTGCCTCACTCTAATTTTTTCTGTCATTTATTAATCTTAAATGGACTGATTATATCTATATCTACATCTACATCTACATCTACATCTACATCTATATCTATATCTATATCTATATCTATCTATCTAATCAGTATATTAATATTCTCAACAGATTTATGTTTCATATTTATTATGAGCACAAGCATTTCTAGAAGTTATATCTCTAAGTAGTTTAGAGATTTCATCTGTCCTGTACTTTTTTTGTATCTGTCGAGCAATAGAACATTGTCTTTCATAAATGAAAGAGTTGGCTATTGACAACTAATATTAATAGAAAACAACACTTAAGTCCAGAACAAATTGTGGCTTTAACAGTGGCCCTCAGTCACTTACTCTGGACTCTGGCAGATGAATGAAAATATAAAGAGGCCTTACCAAACAGGAATAAAGATCTCTATCAATATTTACACATTTGGAATAATTTTAACTTTTACAAATAAAAATAACTTCTAGAAATTTAACTGCATGGAGTGCAGTATTCTAAATCTTGGCTTGCTTAGCCAGGATCTATGCCACTATTATGTGGCAACCAGTAAAATTTCTTATGGGACTAATTGTGAATGATCATTGTAATAGTCGAATGATTGAGTCAAAAGAGCATCAAAGCATTTTTGATCTGCAAAAATTGTGCTATAATGAAAGCAACATTCTTAAGATCATTTAATGAGACCACGAGTTCCAGTCACACATAAAGCCAGCTTAGTGACTTAGGGCAGTCACTCTTTCTCAACTTAGGAAGTAGACAATGGCAAATCACTTCTGAAAATCTTGCTAAGAAATCTACAGGGACTCATCCAGGCAATTGCGCGATCAACACTGACTTCAAGGAACGTATACACACAAGATGCTTTAAAGTTCTTATAGTCTTTAATTAATTATAAGTGAGAAAACAATAGTCATGTTAGCATCTGCCTAAATAATTATTTCATCCATTATAGAAATGTCTGTTTAATCTAATATAGGTAGTGTATGTTGAAGCTAAACAGTATTTCCTTGCTTGGAATAAATTACAAACAGAAGATAAAATTAATCTATTTAAAATGTATGATATTTAAACTCAGGTATCATATTTGAAATCTCAGGAAGCCTTGAATTTTAATTTAGCTATGAATGAAGAAGAAAATTATTAAATGTGCTCCAATTAATTATATTAAATATATATAATTAGTTTAATAACATTCAAAGCTTAAAAAAGTGAAATTTAGATTTTGCCCATGTTGTGTCCAGTTTTGTTCTACCCCACCTATTTCCTGGATGAGATTTCCAGAAAACCATTTAGATTTCCAATCAATCTGTTTAAAAAAGGTAGACTGAACTATCAATATTCCTCTTTGTGAGAGTACAGTTTTATTCTTATCTACATATAAACAGGAGGCAGGAGTTTGATTGTCCAATTGTGGTCAATATCTTGAGGGATTTTTTTGGCATGTATATCTATGTGATCATTAAAAATAATAATAAACTCTCAGAACTCTTTATGACTGTATGATGCATATCTTGGGTTCTATAGTATAACTTATGATGTGCAGGGAATATTCCTGAAGCCATCCAGTTGGTACTTACATAAGAAACAGAAATCATATTAAAACCACCATATTTAATATACGGTAGTTGTGTAGCCATTACCTCACACTTGTTTAGCAGCCCACATTCCTGCAATCTTGACCAAATGCTTTGTATTCTTCCAGCATGCTCAGGGTGGTTGGTATAATTGCCACATAAACACTGGTGCTTCAACATTAGTGTGTCATATGCAACACCTGCAAAACAAATATAATAGGACCAACTTACCAACAACTTTACTCTGTAAAGTAAAGTACAACAACTAGGATGCTCATTGAAGTAGAATTGGATGTGTGCAGTGGTGGGATTCAAATATATGAACAACTGGTTCTCTGTGTGGATGCCACTTCCGGAAGTCTATTCTGGGCCTGGGCAACAAAAAATTAGCTACCGGTTCTGCCGAAGTGGTGCGAACCGGCTGAATCCCACCACTGGATATGTGGTTGGGATGATCAGAATATGCCAAATTGCACAAAAGCTATTTTGGAGAGATGGGACTGTCTTTTTTTGGATAAGTGTACTTTCCCCCCTTACAATGTATACTCTACATTTACATTGTAGTGCTGATATTTAGGTTTATGCAGTATATATGCAAAGAAAGTAAATTAAATGATAGGTAGCTTTGTTTAGGGATTGAGATCGGCAATGAGTTATTTGAAGTGGTATTAAGTGAAACCACAAGTGAACTTATGATCTCACTTTCTTTTGTTTTACAGATCTGTGAAGTTCGTAAATGTGAGGACCAGTCACAAAGCTACTTTTTTATCACTGCCAAAACTCCGAATAGTCACTAAATGAAGTAGTAACTAAACAAGGACTTCAGATAACTTAATCCTTGACACAAATGTGCACTGTAAACAGAATAAATCATATCCCAAGGGCTAGTAACATATGGGAAATATAAATTTCACCTGACAAAAGTAAAAATGCTTTGTTAATGATACTATTTTGGCTGGACTAATAAGCTTTTTTTCAGTGCCAGTTTCTCCTCTTTCATTGAGCAGTTGAAATATTTGGGGCCACAGCAGATAGTGGAACTTTGGCTGATCTTGAAAAAAATCTAAGCATGGTGAGATTCCATTAGTGCTTGAATGGAGACCTAGAAATTCCAGAAGTGGCGACCTAACTGGCAAATAGCAATAACATGGCAAACTGTTTCTTTGTTGTTGCAAAGAAAATGGCATGTCCAATACCAATTATCAGAGTCAAAATTATCTTGAGGTAATCTTTAAATATTTCCCAATATTTCACTGTCAACAATAATCCAATGCTGGCTTCAATTCTATGGGGATTCTGGGAATGATGCCTTTGGTGGTTGCTCTTTTATCACAGAGTATTCACCTGGACTTTCTTGAAGTACCAAGGTTTGAAACACTATTTATTTATCCTGGTGTCCCAGAGTAAAGCACCTGGTCCTCATTAGAAGTGCAGGAATCTGGTGAAGTACTTTGCCAAATCCTTGGATTCTGGCAACTGCCCAAAGTTAGCACCAGGTACCATGTTTTAATCAAAGTGTTGGGCCACTTTTTAAGTCACTTCCCCTCTTTTCTTTAATTATGCTAATGGATTTATTAATTTTCTCAGACATAAAACAAATGATAAAAACATTATATTTGCTCATGTTACTCTGAGTGCAACTTCAACTGAGTCCAAGAGAAGTTTCATGTGTCTTATTCCAAAATGAACTTTGCATAGGATTGCAACTTTTGAATGAGTGCCTAAATAAATCAAAAGTTGAGATCTGTCAGAAACATTCCATGCAAACTTTTAAGTAGTAAAATATTCTCACATTCCAAACTGTGTGTCTGTTGAAGAGCATTCAGTCTAAAATGAAATCTGAATGTCCTTTTTTCATTCACTTCAAACATCTAAATTGATTTAGGATGTGCAAATAATTCACTTTTGCAGCTGTGGGTCACACAGCACGTGTGCTACTGTACCACAACACAGCAACAGAGCTTCCAACTAAAAATAGAATGTAGAATTCCCTAACACAATCCAGCCAACACTACTCCCCCCCCCAAGGAAAAAGGAGCAGTGAGGGAAGAGACAACTGTTTTCAATTGCTTGCTGCTAAGGAATGTTAGTGGAAGATAATGATTCTGGTTGGAATGTTGTCTCTTTTCAAGCCAATGGCAAAATTCCCCTCTGAAATCAGAAAGGCCAAGATTGTAACTGGCTCATTCTGAAAGAAAAATCAATCAGATTTCGATCTAATTGTTGTGATGTAAATTGTAAATGTGACTCTATATGGGTCAGAGTAAAATTAATCTCTGGATCGGAAAACACATTTATTTTAATATATATTTTCATTATCCTTAAGAATTATAGTTGGTGGCAATTTTTATTTATATTTATTTATGATATAGATACATTGTAGAGCTGAATGATGCCATGTTTCTTCCTTCTTCTGGATTTTCAATTGCCATTTAAAGAAATGAAGAAAAGCATCACTGGCAGAAAATATTATATTCTGTAACATAGGCCCAACTTTAATATTATGCATCCTATGGTAGTTAAAGAAATATAATGGTTGTGTAAATCATGCAATATGCAATGCAAAAACTTCAATTTAAATAAGTTTAATTTAAACATATAATTCATTTAATTTGTATTTCTACTTAATTTCAGAAATTTTATCAACTTCTATCTTCCCAATATATTGGAATAAACTATTTTTGCATGTGCACAGAAATTGAATCTTCTAAAACAATTTAGCAGTTTTGGATACAATCTAATGGTTCAATCAGCTTATTCATTTATTTTAGAAATTAGATTCTATGACTCTTATCTGAATTTGAAATTTCTACATCACAGCTAATATTTATTGACCATCTTAAGGGCCATTAGACTATTTATATTTCCTACTACAAAGCTGAAGACAGTGTAATCCTCAAAGGAAAATTCAATACTTGCAACCAAAAGACTCCATTCTATGCTCAGAAAATACAGTACCTTTATATGCAATACAACACACATGTAAATCATTCTTTGCTGAAAGGAAACATAAAGTTAAAGAAATTGATAATTTTGAATGTGTTTACTATATTGGAAAATAACACTTTTGGCATACATTGTGACAAAATATATCAGCAATATATATTATAATCATGCTTTTTATAAGAGTTTCATATAAACACGGTGATGGTCTCAACAAGGGGAGGGACGGGAGAAAAAGAAAATACAATTTGGGCTAGACAGAAGTAAAAGTGCAAAAGGCTGGAGGACATCCAAAAGGCACCTGTTTCTTGGCTGCCAGAGCTTCTCAACAGTATTAAATTTTGAATGTGTGAATATTATCCATTATCAGCTGCACTAAAACATAGTACTGAGAGTAAAAAAGGATTGAATTGCTGCAACTACCAGAGGCATTCTTGGTATTTAAATCAATTGATTCTACATGAACTGTGCATGTATTCTGCCTATTATGGGAATCTTTATGGACTCTTACCCGTCATGGAGGTTTGTTGAATAGGCTGATCCATGGTTGGGTGAGATAATACACAAGTTGTCAAGGAAGTCTGTGTCCTGGCACTAGGCTGGTGCTCATCTAAATGCACCATGCCAATTGTAGCCGTCTGACCCTGGTACACTTGCAATTGCTGTAACTGCTGTTGCTTCAGGACCTGCTATTTTCAAGAGAGAAACATGGTAAAAATGTGACAAGAGATTGCAATGAATACTAGAAGAAATGAATCAAGAAATTAAATTTATTAGTTCAGTGTTCAAGTAAACAAACCTGAAGTCCAACTTTAAGACTTACTCCATAAATCTATCCAACAAATATGCTCACACCTGCCCACACAAGCTACTGAACATCTCTTGTGAACTCTGGGATCGGTTTTGAATCCCTACATGATTAAAAAATATATCCAAAAGGAATAAGATGCTAAGACAGATGGTAGAATTTTGAAAGAAAAAGTATCTGAAAACCAGAACATCTATACATCTTTAAAGATTAGAGAGGACAAAATCTAAGAAATGTGATGTATTCAATCTGTTAAGCAGAATAAAAGCAAACCTTGACAACAGTTCAGCTATTTTAACATAGCTAGCATAGCTAGCACAACATTGGTCTTCCCAATGCTTCACCCCAGAATTCCAAATGTACTTTAAAAGTAACATGGCTCAGTGTTATAGTACATTAATTGACTTCCAGAAAATCCCATACTATGGCAACTCCAGCTGGGCTAGAAAATTCTAACACTGGAACTCTACAAAGCACCTGCCAATCAATGAAACCCCTGGATCAAACTCACTACAAAGTGTGTTCCATATTCTAACATGCAATGCAATTCTTTTCTGTAGGAGGGGAGGGAGGGAGGGAGGGAGGGAGGGAGGGAGGGAGGGAAGGAAGGAAGGAAGGAAGGAAGGAAGGAAGGAAGGAAGGAAGGAAGGAAGGAAGGGTCTAAATGCTAAAATCCTTTCCTTATGTGTGTAGACACAATTTCTACATTATCTATAATTATTTCTTTCAGATATTCTGAGGAAGCTGCCAATTGTTTCAAAAGTGGATTTTATACTGCACCAAGTTTTAATTTTAATAGTAACTAATTGATGGAGATTGGATGGATCAACTGTTCTGTATTAAAAGGTTTTAGAAGAAAAAAATAGTTTTCTAGGAAGAAGAAGAAGAAGAAGAAGAAGAAGAAGAAGAAGAAGAAGAAGAAGAAGAAGAAGAAGAAGAAGAAGAAGAAGAAGAAGAAGAAGAAGAAGAAGAAGAAGAAGAAGAAGAAGAAGAAGAAGAAGAAGAAGAAGAAGAAGAAGAAGAAGAAGAAGAAGAAGAAGAAGAAGAAGAAGAAAGTTTAATCGAGTAAAATGGGCTGCCAATTGTTGTGACTGTCATTAATAAATTATGGGAATTCTACATAAACAGACATTTTAGCATTAGTTCAGACAACTTCCATATGATCAGAATCTTTAAACAATAGACAAATGAAAATGGAACATATTTAAATCTAGGAGAGCCATGTGATTAATAGGACATGGTGCAAACAATTCCTCAATACAACCAGTCAGAACTGCCTGGAAGAAAGCATGGCTTTCCATCCATACTAATTAGGAAAGTGTATAGCAAGTCATCCTTCAAACACTTCTACCCATTTTTATAGCAAAATGCCAACGGGAATGACATCCAGAAATATACTGTGTGATAAAATGAGAAAAAGTGGGTAACTTTTGCCTACCATATCTTACAGTCCTTGAATCATATTGATGGAACATACATCTGAAAACAGGACAAACCTATGGATAATTGAATCATATTAAATGGTGGAGTAGAACTAATAGAGAATGCCCAGCTCTACAGCCCTTAGATTCTTAGATCTAATCAATAGATATATTCTTGGAAATATATTCACTTTAAAAACAGATATGGTAAGCAGATGTTATGGTAGGCAGAAAGATATGGTAGGCAGAAGTTATCCACTTTTCCCCATTTTATCATACTTTTCCCCATTTTATCACACAATATATTCCTGCCTGTCATTCTCATTGGCCTTTTGCTATAAAAAATGGATAGAAGTGTTTGAAGGACAACTGGAAACAACTACTGACTGAATTGTAGCTAAACACTTTTTTGCTTTAGCAGCCAATTATCTTGATAGGCCAATGGTTTTAACATTGGAGCCATACTCTGAAAGCAATTTTCAAATTCCGCTTCCCATTTCGGTCTCCTTTTTCTAAAGACCTATCATGCTGACCGGCAACTATTAAGTGCTCATGTTTGCTCTGCAAAGATTACAGTGGTCTAAAAAATGTGTTTTATAAAATGGTGCTAAGCTGCTTGCATCTGCATCTAAAACAGGATTATCCATTAACAGAGGGATAGAATCAAGATCACGTGAAGTGTTAATATACTTTATAATGCCTTGGTAAGGCCACACTTGGAATACTGCATCCAGTTTTGGTCACCACAATGTAAAAAAGATGCTGAGACTCTAGAAAGAGAACAGAGAAGAGCAACAAAGATGATTATGGGACTGGAGGCTAAAACATATAAGGAACAGTTGCTGGAATTGGGCATGTCTAGTTTAATGAAGACTAGAGGTGACATGATAGCAGTGTTCTAATATCTCAGGGGTTGCCACAAAAAAAGAGAGTCAAGCTATTCTCCAAAGCACCTGAAGGCAGGACAAGAAGCAAAAGATGGAAACTAATCAAAGAGAGAAGCAACCTAGAACTAAGAAGAAATTTCCTGAACAGTTAGAACAATTAACCAGTGGAACAACCTGCCTCCAGAAGTTGTGAATGCTCCAACGCTGGACGTTTTTAAGAAGAGGCTGGACAACCATTTGTCTGAAAAGGTATAAAGTTTCCTGCCTGAGCAGGGGGTTGGACTAGATTACTTCCAAGGTCCCTTCCAACTTTATTATTATTATTGTTGTTGCTGTTGTTGCTGTTATTTATTAGTAAGAAGGGATGTCAACCTCCCCCCTCAAGATGGCAGGTGCAGCTGTGAGATATAAGCCCCACCTCTTTTTATTACAGGAGTCTGATGTAATAAAGAGCTGTGTTTCCATTGCCTTGGAATCATCTTTGATCCTTATTAGACTTGCCAACATCTTTAGTTTGCTAAAGCCTGCAGTTATTTTTAAGCAGAAAGAAAGGCTAATCAACAATAAAATATTTTATAAAAGTGGAAACCAAATTGAAGCTAATCCCAAAGGACTTAAAAAGGTATCTTGATGAATAAGGGAAGCTATTAAATCAAGTTTGAAATTCAGCTAAAGTGATCTTGGGTCCTAGGAAGACTTTTTAACGCATTCCCCATTTCAGGAGTGGAATCTCTGGAAAGATTTCAGTGCATTTAATGTGAGATGTTCTTGTTGCCAGAGTCACTTAATTTGGGGTTGATCAAGGGGGAGCAGGGATATATGTACTTGCTGACATATATAGAAATAAAGAATCAGAATGTGGAAAATAAAGTTAGGGATATGTAGAACATCCTATCTTACAGGCTGCACAGGAAAAGTGCAGTTTCCAGCTTTTAGTGTCTCCAAATGACTTTTGGACCAAGGAACCAGAATACATTTTGAAGCAATCATTGCAACTGGGACCAATGGAATGAAGTGATTGTACATAAAAGTCCTGATAAAAGTTAATGGATATTCTGGCTTTAGTAAGGCCTAAGGGAGGGAGGGAGGGAGGGAGGAAGGTGGAAATTTGGATGTGGGAGATAAATGCAATTCTAAGGGAGTAGTTAACATTAAAAGTAAAATTAACATTCTTTAAAGAGAAATTTTCTTAACTTTCCTTTGAAGCAGAAACTAAATTTGTCCTTAAAATTTTATTATTAGTAAATGGGAAGTATAAATAACAATTGTGCAGCTGAGAATCAAACCTAACGCAAGACAACAGCACAAACATTCTTCTGGATCAGCCAGTTAGATGGGTCTGTATGTTAGAATGTTTGGCATTTATAAGGTTAAATCATTTCCTAGTTGAATATATTACTTATGTAACAAGTCATATTTTGCAATTGAGCCATATATAAATGTGGTGAATTGCTGTTGGGTTGCACAGCGTTTGTGTGATTTCCTAGCAGAATGTGACATTAATGTGTGACTTGGCATTTGTCTGCACTGTCAGATTTTCTCATGAACAGTAAAGGCCAGCAACCAATTTTGGATGGTCAGAATAGGTGACTTTGCCCTGTATATTTAATCCTCACTCACCACAAAAATCAATTTCCAGTATATTTTCCTTCTTTACATTCAAAATACAGTTTTCCTGCTTCTATTACTTTAAATCACTGTTTTCCATTCTGCCCTATAGCACCTTATTTTCTTCCTTTAAAAAAAAGCCCAATGGAGCTTATTTCATCATTCATCTCACTATTGAGGAAATTTTTTTTTAATGCTTTTTGCCCTAAGCAACTGGAGATTAAAACTATTTACTAGAAGATAATCTTGAAAATTGAAATGAGAGATAATGTGTCAGCCTAGAAACTGGGAAACCGAGTTCTAGTTGTACCTTATGTACAATAGCAGCTAGGTGACCTTAGGCCAGTCCCTCTCTAGTCCTAGGAAACAGGCAATGGCACACCACTTCAAAAATACTCCAGGAATTAGTCCAGGCATTTTTTAGAAGTCAGCACTGGCTCAATGGCACAAAACAAACAAACAAACATCTTGAAGTGACAAAAGTGTGCATGGCTGGACTTATTTTAAGAACTAACTGAAAAATAAGGAACTACAGAAGACAAAACCAGTCATTTAAATGCATTTTCTGCTGAATTTCAAACCTTTCTATATTTTATATCCTATATGAGTACTGCGTAATCCTAAGACTTGGGTTGAAATTAGCTGTAGAAGACATTACAAACCAACACAAGGCAAAGAAAGGAATTTTTATGTTATGGTTGGTTGTTATGCCTATACATAGACATAAGTGCATTCTGATGCTTTAAATTTTTATGTGTGTGAGTTTGGGGGTTGCTACCTGTAGAACAGAAAGCAATTAGCTTATTGCATTCCTAGAATGAAAAGATGGGAGGATACAATACCCTGGACCCCAGACTGAATACACATAGTCCTTGACTTACAACAGTTCATTGAGTGACCATTCAAAATTACAACGGTACTGAAAAACTGACTCGTGACTGTTTTTCACATTTACAACCATTGCA